AGTATTGCTGCCTGCAAGATGTTTTGTAAAACAGATGCAAAGAAAATATTCAATAGAAGAATATTGAACCAACTAGGTTACGTCATCATAATCAGATATAGAAAAATATATCTACACACTGGACCCATATGATGCCAGTTTAGCAGAATAACCCCTATTTTACTGGAGCTGCAGTTCAAGTCCTACATGACTTGGGCCCCTGCTACCTTTGGACCACCTTCTCCAGATTAAATCTGCCTACCCGATACACTCTTTATTAGGAGATACCACCAATGACATTTCTAAGCAAGTTGATAAACTTTCCTCTACAGTATTGCAATTGCCATCAGAAGCCAATGGGTTTAAACTTGTTTAGGCCTGGATCGTCTGGTTATTTGGGAGACTGTAGTTACCCAATGTTACTTACTCTCTTACTATTACTGTTTATGTGCATATATAAACATCATTTATTCTATTTTTAAACATCTTTCATATGTTATCACATCTGCTCTTTTTCTTAATCCATTTTATTAATCTCACAAACATTTTTTCCTTTTAATTTTGGCCTTGTCCATAAATATATACATATCTGGGAGGGGCGACTGCAGGTTGCTTCCCCTTTCAAGAGAGATGGGGTGTAATCTTTTCTGTGGCAGTCCCCACACCAAATCAGATTAGTCTCCACTCTACTATCTTTCAGGAAACAGCAAAATCTATCTTCTTCTGGAAAATATTGGGGTAGAAAGTTTTTAACTATGGATGGCAGCATACATGGCAGTTGTGGTAGGAATACTGTGTTATTTTGTATCATTGTTTTAATAATATAGGCCACCTAGAGTCTGATTAATCAGGTAGCATACACATCTTTGTAATAGATTGCATTATGCTGCTTGTACAACTTTTGTAGGCTTCAATGAGCTGGTTCAGCTAGGGTTCCGTTCTTGCAAATCAGCAGTGGTGAAAAATGAGGTGATAAGCAGGCAAGCGCAAGCAGTAAGACAGAGCTAAAGCACTGAGCAGACTATCTCCAGCTGTCTGTCAGTGCTCACAGAGAAATGGGGCTGAGGCAGCAAGCAAACTCTAACCCATGAATGTGAGGAGGCTGCAATGGACCACCTGGTGGACCTCAGGCCACACTCTGAGTACTCTAAACTTTCAATTCCTCGGAAATCTTCAAATGATCCTTTCTTATGACCAAGTCCACTTTATCCATCAATAAAAAAATCAGGTGCCTAAAAATTTTGAGTTACTATATGTGTTCTAGACGTATCCTGACTAGTTAAATTAGAGATAAAGAATTTTTTTTCGTCCAGGATCCATATTTTTTCCTAAAAGTCCATCTTCTGGATTAATAAATCTTTGTTCTATTTTTTCCTCCAGAATTAGGTCCTGAGCTTCAGATTCTAAACTATAAGTAGGATAGTGAAACTGATTGAATGGAAGTGATTATACTGAATATATTGAATCTATATTTTACAGTGCAGTGGTAACAATAATTGGTGTCAATTGGGATTAGAGGATAGTGAACATGACTATGATGGTCAGGTGATATCTCTGAAATAATTATGAGAGAGAGATACAAAGCTGGGCTTTCTTATCTGTGGTACACAGACATGAAATATTCTTTTCCAGTCAGAGCCCACAACCAGAATATTCAGATTTTACAAGTTTTATGGGCATTTGGGATCTTCTATTTAGTTCACTATTTTCATTCTTTTGCAGCAGGTTAACAATGGACTATTTTTTCCTTCATTTATGTGTTATAAATTATTACAGTTCTAATCATTTTTACCACTTTGAAAGGCAAATTAAGTCACCTTTCTATATGGAGACAGATTTCATATAAAAAAGAAATTACAGTCTGCAAGCCTCCAAAGTTACTCAATCCATAAACTATAAAGGCAGTCTTCTATATTTTTTTTCTTTGTTTCTTTTACCTCCCCTGCCAATGCAGGGCAGCACAGGAAATGAATCACCTACTCAAGGGTACTTTTCCCTTAAATCTAGTTTCAAATTTATTCATGAATTATGCTATGCTACTATGCAAAGATAGGGAAAGCTGAAAGAACAGGATGATTATCTCTGCATGGGTGAAATAAAAATGACCTAGCTAAAATATTTCAATAATCTAATCCATCTAGGAAAGAAAAGAACATATAATTCTCCATGAACATCAATTGACAATCCCAAGATTTAAACTGATTCAACTGAAGAAATCAGTTTTATGAACTAAGGCTTTACAGCTATTTAAAATTTTATCAGCAGTTATGGTGTTATCTCTCCCATCAGAATTTCACTGGATCCAGTTTATTCTCAGCGACAAAACAATATCCTGTATGTAGTCTGTGGTCACTGCCAAGCCACTGCTGATTCATTCATAAACAAACCATAAACTCTGTTTGGAACACTTCATTAATTCCCTGTTTGCATGGGGATGATAGCATGCAATGGAGGAAATTACAAAATTACATGAAAACAGAGGTAAAAAGTCTCTTGTATGGTTTTTTTTTTATTTATATAAACATCCAGAGAGGCAAAATGTGTTATTTTGCAAGGCTTCAGGATAAGATTTAGGTCTTGAATATTGTGGACAGAAAGAATGGTAATTTTCCATAAATTTTGGCTAGGCCTCATAATCTCAGGCCTCATAATGACAATTCCAGCACAGTTAATTTAAGCTACATTTGTGATATGAAAAGAAAACCCCATCTAGTTTTTACTCTTAATGTTTGAGGGTTTTTTAATTTTATTTTTCAGGAGTTCAGGGCCACACAATTCTAGGCATCAACCATTATATTACAATATAATGTAATTTTATATTCCTGAAATGGAATATAAAAGCCAGGACAGAAGTCATAGAAAAAATCTTTGCAAAAACGTATGAAGTTCATTGGAACTATAGCTTTCTTTTTGAAATCAATGGAATCAAACTGTAGGCTTCCCAAATTTAGAAAAGATTCTTCAAAGCATGCAGGGGTATAAACAAAATATGTCTCCAATATTTTAAAGAGGCATCTTTTGCGAGGATTTCATGCCTGGTCTCTGCAGGTGCCCCACAATCACTAGAAAGATGCAGACACTTTAAGAAGCACCCCTACACCCTCTGAAGTACTTTTCTAGAATCGAACCAGAAGCACCACACCGCTGTATCACACAAATTATCACGCTTATCACATGCTTATCACACAAATAAATATAGAAGGAGCCGTCTGAATCTATTCAGAAATGGGATACTAGTAAACAAAATCTAGAGCAACAGAATATCGAGGGGCAATTTTATAAGAATGTGTCACATACAGATAACTTTTACAGCCTGTGAAATATATTGATCCAAATGTTCAAACTGAGGTTGAAGGGTGTTTTTTTTTTTTTAAAAAAACCTATCAGTATATAGGTTTTTTTTATTTAATAAAGAGAAATCATTTCTGATCAAGAGCAACCTGGTGATTATATTAAAGATATGAACTAAATCTTTCGAGACCTGATTTAGATTGCCTTCACAGAAGGAAGGGTGCTTGAATATACCAGCTAAACAGAAAAGTGACTTTTTATGTTTTGCTTCCTAAAGCATATACAGTTTCTGAATCAGAGTTATTAAGCTAGTAAGTTTGAGACCTACCCAAAATTAAGAGAGCTACCCAAAACTATATGTCATCCTAATTAATTCTGCCTGGCAAGTGGTATTTATTCTTCATATTAAATAAGCCTTTATAAAGCATTTCACATAGAATTTCACCTGCAAGCAAAGCATCTAACTGGATCCACATTGAGAGAGTGCAAAGCAGCTGCCAAGTGCATCCATGGATGGCACTTCATCCAGGATAGCCAGCAAATTGCTCTGTTGGATGATCTGCCTACCCCAATGTTAAATAATTAAAGCAAGCATAAAAATCTAGGGGGAAAGAATACAGAGACAGAAAACGAATGCAGTTTTGTGCATTAATAGAACTTATTACCTATCCATAATAGCATAGTAGATTTAAGTGAGTGATGGCTGAACTCCCCCAGTTTTTGGAATGTGGGACAGGCTCAATCCATAGAAATTAACAAACTAAAAATTGATGTATTTGATCATTTCTAATTTGAATTGAGAAAACAGACTGGTTCAAATGTCCACTCAGCCACAAAAAACACAGGGCCTTTGAGTAAGTTACTCCAGGTGGGTGGTGGTGATTTTATTGATAATGTTAACCTACTTTCAGGGCCATTTTCTAGAAAAAGGGGAAGAATTATGCTTCTAACAAGGAAGGGGACATTCATTTCAGTTATATAAACAGGAGGCTGTTAGGGTCTGGATGGGAAGGAACAGACTTAGGCTGAACCCCAGCTATGGAAATAACAGTCTTCCGATTCCAAAGATGGTTCGTCTATAGTTTTGGACAGGGTTGATCTCCCTATATAGAGCTCGTTCACAGCCTGGGGATTCTCCTGGACTTGCAGCTTCTGCTTGAGCAGCAGGTGAGACTGTGCCAAGGCAGCCTTTGCACGATTACATCTTATGCACCAATTTAGACCTCCCTGGAGATGTTGCATACAATCACCCATGCCTATTTCATGACTGTACTACCACAATTCACTGCCTTTGAAAACCATCTGGAAGCTTAAACTGGTTCAGCATATACTAGCCTGGGTAGAGTGATGGCTGCATCTAGATTATGTAGACGCAGCACTGTTAGTCCAGAAGCTGCACTGGATTCCAGTCAGCTTCTGGTGTAATTCAAAGTGCTGCATATCACCTTTAAAGTCCTGCATGGTTTAGGGTCTGGTTATCTCCAAGGCCTGCTCCAAAATGAATCTGCCCATCCCATAAAATTTGGGGGAGCCCTTGCTGAGGGTCCTGTTACCTAAGGAGTTTCATCTTCCAGGAAACTGTAGTATGGCCTTCTCAGTGCTAGTGCACCTCCTGTAGGACAACTTGTCTGTCTGTCTATCATCACTGAGATGCATTTAATTATATACAGTAGGTTTAAGCCTCGCTATTCAAAATAAGCAAGGTAACAAGCTAAGTAAACTGTACTCACGGCATTCCTTCTCATCACTTTCATCAAAACAGTCTGGCAGCCCATCACATTGCCAGGCTCCTGGGATACAACGTCCATTACTGCACATGAAGTTTCCAGGAATATTACATTCATTTGTGAAATTATTCCAAGGCAAGAGTTGGCTTTCTGTAAACCAGGAAAGATGTAGTAAAAAGAAGAGGTCAAGTTCACATATACAGAAATTATTTTCATATCTGAACCAATATTGCTGACAGACAAAAACATGTATGAAAGGAAGGTGGACAGAGCAGAAAATAAACATTTAGATCAATTGGTCTGGCCTGAATTAAGTTAATATTGTAAAGTTCCCCTTTTTTCTATCCTTTATAGGAAGCTCTTGCATTCTATCATTCCCAAATTGTATGTCTTTGAACAGCTGATAATAAAATGATTTGGGAAAACTGAACCCCTAAGTTCGTATTATGCTTATAGGTACTCCTGCAATATAGTAGCTCTCAAGCTCTCAAGAAAAAATGCAGAAAAAACTATACATTAAGAAATATGGAATTAAGATTAGGAAAAATACTTTTAAAAAGAAAGAGGGATATTTGCCTATCAAAATAATTTTAATATGCAACCTTCTATCTGAAGTAGCAGCTATGGAAGCCTCTTAATCCAAAAAAAGAAAAGAAAAAGATTTAAAACTAAAAACTCCAAGGAAAAAATAATGTTAACAACCTTTTATCCATACTTGATTAAGACAGTTTACTTATTTATTTATGGATTAGCTAAAGCCAATGACCCAAAAATATCAGGTGTGTCTAAAAAGATAATCAGTTTAGTGAAGAAATTCTACTAATTCTTGGTCAGAAAGCAGTGAAGGGCATTCTAAAGCATGTTAGAACATCCTGCCAGATATATAGCATTATATATAGAACCAAGATAAATAAAAACTACCCTAAAAATCTTTCCTACAATTCCTACAAAAGCATCACTATTCCCAAATAAAATTTGATTTACATCCCTTTTCAGGCAATATGTTCATCTTGTTTTGTATAAGTGAACAGGTGAGGAGAAGTAAACAGCCCTTCCCCACTCCAAGTTTTCCTGAAAATACCACTAAAGTGCCAGCCTTCAGGGGTCCAGCATAACTGCCCATAGTGGGGAGCCTTCATATATGTACTAGTGAAATTAATCAGGACATAAATATTTATTAAATCAGCTTTGACTTGGCAAGAAAGGATACATGTTTCATTGTCAAAGCAGAAACACCATCCTTCAGCAGCCTCCTTCTGTTAAACGTATGTTTCTCAAAAAGTCTGTAGCAGTGTAACACATATATTTAAGCTATATCCAGTACCACATAAAATGTCTTCCTCCAGCATCTTCCACAACTGTTTCAGGAAGTTTGCCAACTCTCCAAAATGGATTTGGGATACGTAGAGAAAGAAGAAAGTTCCAACCTGGCAGAATAGTCTAAAGCAGTGGTTTTCAAAGTGTGGTCTGAGGACCCCTGGGGGTCCCCGAGACCCTTTCAGGGGGTCCACAAAGTCAAACAAATAAATACTTTAAAATTTCTCAGTTTTAATTTCTAATACAGTAAGTATCGATAGAATGAACCCACATAAAACATAGCTCTTTGGGGTCCTCAATCATTTTTAAGAATGTAAAGGGATCCTGAGACCAAAATATTTGAGAACCACTGGTCTAAAGGAAGCAATTGGATACAATCTCCAATATGGAACACTGTATTTAACACAAAGTGTGGACAAGGTTGAAGCAGCTTCCTCTAATATTTACAAATAGTAGCAGCATATAACATCTGTAAACTAAAGGTCATTTTATTATCTCTTTTCAAGACTAAAGAATTCTTCTAAGTCATTTTTTTACATAAAAGCAGCATTATTTCCCCTTAAATGAAATGTTTATTTAGTTGCAACTCTGACTGAAAGCTTGCACATACACTGTCTTAATGAACAGTATGCAAAGTATTTATTTTATTCAGCTTGTAACAACTTTCAGCTCTGGTGAATATTCAAAGCATTTGGTAACACACTATTGTCATATTTAGCTCTTTAATTCACTTTTCCTTAGACTTCAGCACTAAACAAATGAAACTGAACCTTGATTTAATGAAGCAATTCAAACAAAATAGTAATAAGTAGTTTCCAAATTAATCCAAGGTGAAGTTCAGAGAGATTCCCTATATCCATGTTATTCCCTATATCTGCCTTCTGAACTGGAATGATGAAAATGTTCTCTTTAAGAATGGACACTTTCTAAAGTTTACTTCATCTTGGCTGCTGCATTTATTCCCAGAATGAAGAAAAATAATCCCCATGGGCACTTTGCCCACTGGACTGCATTTTTAAAAAAGATTCTTTTATTAAATCAATAGAGTTTGCAAATTGCAAAACACAGCAAGCTTATTTAACTGAAAATAAATAAATTGAACTGGCAGGTTGCAAAAAGCGACATGCATCTACTTTACAAATGCCTGCCCTATTTTATCCTCATAGGATGTTTTAGAAAATAAATATGACTGATGCCTGCAACCCAGCACTTTGTAGCCACCATGCAGGGAAAAAAAGACAAAGAAAAGATGGAATGGGAGAAAGCACCATGAAGGGGTAATAGAGGTAGCAGGCAACTTTGCCTTAGATAAATAAGTGTTTTGTGGTCAACTATTTGGGAGCATGGAGTTGTGGCCAGTCCAAAGCAATCATTTTGTTATACTACTCATAACTTGCTCTCTAAATTTCAAATATCTGCATTAACCCAAAAATGTCACCTATCAATTGCCGTATCAGAGGGATTGCTGAACATGGACTACCACAAGTGTTAATTCTGTCTCAGTCACATCAATATGATGAATTAAGTTTCAATGAATTTACTGAAGCTTGTAAACATTGTGCAGAAGTCACTGTGATACTGGCAGTGTACAGATCTCTTATCGGTCCATTGATTGACTCGGTGCCAGACATAATCACTCAGCCTGACCTACTTCAAAGACTGTTCTTAGAGTATACTGGGATAACCTTAAATACATTGCATAGAGCTTCTTTAAAGAAGATTGATATACTGATATAATAAACCTATGATTTAATCAAAAAGCTCAAGTCCCACAGGAATCAAATATATAATAAAGGCATATTATACTTCCTATTTGCATTCATATAACTTGACATATCTCATCCACAGAACACGATGTATATGATACACACACACACACATACAATGTTCACACACTGTTAATAATTTAGCATCACTGTCAGTCTTCACACAGCTACAGCAGTAAATCCCTACACTCCCCAAGCTAACAGGTCATAGGAAACCTTGGGAATATGAGGGCAGGGAGGTGATGAAACACATACTGCAATGTCATGATACAAACTCCCCCCCCTTATGTACTTCTATGGAGAGTCACTGTGCAGTACCCCCTGATTGAGACTGGGCTGTAGTTTGTCTCAAGGATAGAGTTTTGTCTGTTTGTCAACTGCATGAAAAGTATTAAATAGACAGCTGGAAGGTTCTTGGGTTAATTGAGACACCTATGAGCAAGCATATCTGCCTTCTGGTAAAGATGTATATGTAGATTTATCAGGCAAAGGGGTTTTGGTTGTTTGCACTTTGTGTTTCCTTGTGCACTGGAGGTGCTGTACAGATATCGAGGAGCAGGGAGATTGAAGTCACAGGATGAAAGCAGGGCAACATAGTTGGAGAGAGGATCCTCAGAGGAAAGAGGAATATGGTGATTGAGGAACCGGCAAAAGAAGCAGAATTGGACAGAAAATTTGTGCAGCACACCGACTGGTGAAAGACATGAAGCTACACTGGGAAAAAACAGCAAAATAGCATAACAAAGTACAACCAAGGTGTTCACTTTGCAGGAGGCTGAGGAAAAAAGGTTATTTTTCCCTCTGTAGGCTAGAAGCATGAAAATGATAGTGAAGCAAAGCCGTCTTTGGAAAGGGTTAACATAACCAAACAGTGATTAAGTTTAATAACAGAGTAGAAAGAAAGGAATGACTGAAACAGTTAAGGAACTGCAAGAAGCTTTGTCAACTGCCTGAATTTATATTACATTACTAAGCTAGAACCCCTTTATACAAGCACAAATTATTTACTTTATTTGCACTGTAACAATAAAAGTCACTTTATTTGACAGAAGAACACTGTCTGGGTGTCTGGAAAAGTTCCTTTCCTTTTCCATCCTCTGACAATGACAATGCATGTACAAAGGGTGGACTTTGCATCATGATATTACAATGCTGGAGAAGGAAATGGCAACCCACTCCAGTATCCTTGCCAAGAAAACCCCATGGACAAT